CTAGTAGTGTTCTGTGTGCATGGATCTGGCCTGGCGAGTTTGGCTGACTGGTGGTGGACCATTGGTAGGCAGGCAACCTGTTTGAGTCCTGCTACGATGCCAGCTGGGAGCCGCATGCTTCATATCAGAGCCTGCACTTTGAAACCCATCCTGCATGCCTGTCCAAGCCCGCCCTCCCTCAACAGCCAGTACCCACACCTCCACTTGCACCCCAACACTTTGCTCCAACTTGAAGTTCCCTGCCAGAGCCATCAGCCTTCCTCCACCATCTCCTGAACCTAAACAGTCTGTCAGCCTGGACCCCCTCCCAGAGCCAACACATATTTCACCCCCTGCTGTAACCCAACATGCTGTCCCAGCCTGGAGCCCCTACCTAGAGTAAGCCCATCCTTCCCCACCTGCTAGAGTACTTGAACACTCTACTCCAGCCTGGAGCACCCAAATTTCCTCCCACAGCTTGCACTCCTCATCCATTATGGCTCCCAAATCCCTCAGCACTGGGCTGGATACTGCATCCTCTGCCCCAGCCCAGTGAAAATAAGTGAGGATTGGGGAGAGTAAGTGATGGAGAGAGGGGTATTGAGTGGATGGAGCTTTAGGGAAGGGGTGTGACCTCGCCTTGGGCTGCCCTGAAATTTAAAAAGCGATCTTGGATGTAAAAAACTTGAAGACCACTGATCTAGATCATCCTTGACAGGTGTTTGTCTAACCCTCTCTTAAGTCTCTAGTGATACATTTCATCAGGTCCTGGTAACTTGACATCATCTAACTTGCCTAACTAATTCTTAACTTGTTCTTTCCTTAACTTAGCCTCTGATCCTACTTCATTTTCACTGGCATCCCTATGTTAAACATCAAATTGCCAGCTACTTTCTTGGTGAAAACCAAAACAAAAAAGTTGTTTAACACCTCTGCCATTTCCATGTTTTTTGTTATTGTTTTTCCCCATTATTAAGTAATGGGCCTCCCTTGTCCTTGTCCCTTGTCCTCTTGCTTTTAATATATTTTATAGAATGTTTTCTTGCTACCAGTGTTTCTTGTTATGCTTCTAGTTAGTTTGATTTTGTTTTGTCACAGCTTTTCTAATTTTGCCCCTACATACTTGTGGTGTTTGTCTGTAGTCATTCTTTGTAATTTAGTCTAGTTCCCAACTTTTTGTAGACTTGATTTATTTTTTTTTAATTTTAGACCATTGAACATCTCCTGGTTAAGCCATGGTGGTCTCTTACTATACTTCCTATCTTTCTTACGTGGTGGGCTAGTTTGCTACTGTGGCCTTAATAATGTCTCTGAGAAACTGCCAACTGTTCTTCCTCTTAGACTTATTTCCAATGGGACAGAGTTTGCTAAACTCTTTCTTCTTAAAATTCATTCTTTATATTGCTAGTCTCACTCTTACTATTTGTTAGAATCATGAACTCATCATTTCATTATCACTTCCACCTAAACTGCTTTCCACTTTCAGATTCTCAACCTGTGCCTCCCTATTTGTTAAAAACAAATCTAGAACAGCTTCTCCCCTACTAGCTTTCTCTAGCTTCTGAAATTAAAAATAGTCTATAACACATTTCATGGAAGAGTAAGTTCTAGCTTAGCATGAAGTCCACCTCTGTTAAGAAAAGTATTACAATTCTGTGGTTGGATATATAAGTTGCTAGGGAATGAGATATTTGCAATAAAGCATTTTTATTACAGAACAAGATTAATGCCTTTTTAAATTACTAATATTAAAAACTATTTTAAAACTTTAAAACTGATAGAAATATTATAAGGGTGTTAAATTTGTGAAGTGGTATATCAATAGTTCTGGCATTTGCTTGCCTTACTATACATTCTATTGAAGAATAACTTGAAGGGTAACTCAATAAATTAGAGTTTGTAACGGGAAAGTGAAGGTCAGGTTGATCTTGTGCTCAATTCATAAAAAACAATTTTAACTTCAGCGGTAACTTGCCTTTGTCACAGTTAAACTATGTGCAAAATTACCAGTGTCAGGGTTTGGAGTGCTTACTTGTTTTCTGAATGTAGCAGTAACACTTTTCAGATAAGACAAAATCTGATTTTACACGTGAAAATATTTTATAGAATAGTTCAGTGCAAAAAAATTTCAAGTTTTCATCAGAATTAACTTCTATTGGAATTGTTTTTTCCTTTCCTGAAAACAAAATTCTGCAGTGATAGTAGTATTTCTCTAAACCATCTTCCTTTTGTCTCTTCTGGATCATTGTTCTATATATATCTGGTTTGTCTGTCACTGGCCCCATCTGTATGCGTTCTGAGAATCAATAGTACATTAAGGAAACTGACATGAGGAGGGAAAAATCATAAATAATGAATAACAGCCTTTACTGCTGGTGTTTCATTTCTTTTAAGAGGAATACAAATTCCAATGAAATGCTAGTGTATTTCACAACCATGTTAAACCAAAAATCTTTACCTAGCGCATTAGTATTTTATTATTTTTTGTTGTTGTTTAGAACTAACATTTTGTAATGTTTAATTATGTGCTGCCAAAGGAAAAAATAAGCTTTCCATTTATTAGAGGTATTGTGCACAGTTAGAATATTTTATTAGAACTTATCTGCAGTCTACTGAGATACAAAGGTTTTGTTTTTGACAAGATCTCTCAGCTTTGTAAGCAGTAGCATCTTCAGAAGAGAGATACTGTGGCATGAAAGACATGAAGTATTAATGGACAAAGCGTGATCCTTGCACTTCAATTCTGTGTATTAATTTTTTTCATTAGCTCTCTGCACTTCCACATCCTGCATATTGCTGGCAAGCATGCATCAGCAGTAAGACTTTCTTCACCAATGTGTCTGACATGTCTCTGAAATGTGACTGGTCAAAGCAGTAGCTGATTTTTAGATGTCGGTTGCTTTCAATCCATCTGAGTAATTTCACCTGATATTACTTTAATTTTTCGATATAATGTGCTCTTTCAATGAATAGACGTGTAGAATCAGCACAGGAAGAGCAAAGTCCTTGGCAATACCAGCTCAATTGCATCTGCAGATGAGGATTTAAAATTCTATGCAGCAGACAGTACCTCAAGCAGGCGAGTAAAAGGTTATAGCATTATTTTGCTTATTTGCATCCATAGTCTTTATCTATAAAAGGGGTTTTTATTCTATTTATAGTGCATGCTTTATATTTAGATACCACTGGAAACTGATTGAAAAGAAACATAAAATCAAAAGGGCAGAGCAAGGTGAAAGGGAGAGGCAATACTAGCTCAATTCAGCTTTAAACCTAGGAAGGGGAGGGAAGGAAGCGGTGGGAGCAGGAGAGAGCAAGAGACAGATTAAGCTTTCAGTGCAGTAAGAAAACTGAAGTTTTCTTCAGTGTGTGTGTGTGTGTGTGTGTGTATATATATATATATATATATAAAAACACACACATATATATATAAACATACACACACATATATGTTTAAGCTGCTTTTACGTCATCTACTTTTTTGTAACCTTTTGATAGGGGTGCTGTTGAATTAGACCAGCACTGATAGCTCTATAAATGCAAATGACACTTACTTCAAGTCATTTTATCCTGTAATCATTTTAAGCATTTGTGTTAATATGAACCCTTTTATTTCAGAAACCATATTGCTTACTTTAGTAAGCTGGTTAAAATGAAGTTTTTAAAATATTTGTAATGCTGGCATATTGTTTCATCACATGAAAAGGGAAAATCAGTATATGGTTCACTGATTTTATACCCTGAGAAACAGTCAAGTTTTTGACTGAGACCGAATTATACAGATGCAATTAGACAGGTAGAGAGTGTTATTGAGAGACCATATTTTGGTTTCAGCACATGAAATATTTTTGGAACAGACCTGGAAGCCTATGAGATATGACTACTCTTTTGAATTACTGTTGCTTTTCTGTGCAATTCTTCCTCTGAGCCAAAGACTTTGTGTAACTTTTTTTTCTCAAAGCTGCTTATCCTAGACAGTTCTATTGGGGATTGATAAGAGAAAGGTTATGTTTCAACTTACTTTCCTTTCTTGGTCCTCCTTTAGTTTAAATTTGTGTTTTTTTTTTTTTTTTCTTAAATGTTATCACAACTCATATAGGTTGGTAGCAGCCATTCTCATTTCTTTACAGAATTTTGTATGTTTCAGTGCAATCCTTTTGTTGCATACAAATTATTCAATTTACAATAAAATTAGAAAATATATATTGTAGAAAATCTATTGTAGAGTATAACAGGAAGACAAGTCTGTCATTCTTCTTGAATGTATTGACAGGTCCCTCTTGAACACTAGAGTAATAAAAGGTCAGTTGCTCTGATTGGCAGGTCAGCCTCCATCCAGTAATCCCTTCCCTGTTGTTGTTCTAAGCAATGCAACAGCAGTTCTTTTTTGAGATATTGAGCAGCTCTTGAATAGAGTGCATGGAGGATGTTGAGGGGTGTGGCTCTTTTCTGTTGGCTATTGGAATAGTGTGCACTTAGAGAAAGAACAGGTTGGATAGGCTGAGCCGTTAGAGTAGGTAACTGGACTTGAAGTGATGGAGAAGAACAAACTGTAGTGAGTGTGCAATTTAATGTATCTGACACCTTGAATCTATTCCTCTTAAGGTGCCTTTCTTCCTTTTATAAACCAGTTAAGAGCCTTAAAACATCTTACCTTGTAAAACTGTCTATATTTTAGTGTTGAATTTTGCTTCGTGTTGGGACTCTGGCTGGCTTTTTTTTTTTTTTTTTTTTTTTTTTGAGGAACACGTGTTTTGTTTTGTTTTTCTCCTGTTTATCAGTGTTAATTTCAGCCAGGGAACTGCAGAATGAGGCAGTCAGCCAATTTTGAGTATATATGGGAATGTACCAGTTCTGGTTTCTTAAGGAATAAAGTCATCTGATGAGCAAGTCAATGTGTGGATGTGGCTGCAGCATTATTTTTTCTTTAATGAAGAGGCTGGGCTGTTCGACCTGCTGCTCTGATCTTCTATCTTGCAGCCATACGTCAGACCAGTTACAGAGACTATCCACCGAATGTCCCAATCAACCAAAAAAGGTAACTATATAGATATTTATTTAAAATCTAAAATATACCATTAAATAGATGCATTATAATTTAGACTTACATTAAAAGAGAAATTTGAGCTGTTCCTAGCAGTTTTCTTGACCTTGCAGTAGCTATCCAATATCATTTTGCTATCATCAGGTTATGTAGCAATAGAAATGTGCTGCAGTAATTGATTTTGTAATAGGATCAGGTGATTTACTGGCTACAATGACAACCACTTGCTTGCTTGCTTGCTCTGAAACGTGGAACACTCTAATGGATGTTGTGATTGCAGCCTAGCGTTGCTTTGAAACTGCTGGATGCTTAAAGATGCAGTATCTTCTTTATGTCAAAATAAAAATTACTTTTAATGAAATTCTTCCCCAATGATATTATATGATAGAAGCATCTGACATCTTAAAATTTTAGATAATTTTTCAGTTTAGAGAAAATTCTCTATATAGAATCAGACGTCATCTTTATACATTTAACATGTAGCCTTTTTCTGGCAGTTATTTAATACATATTTTTCTTAATGTCCTTTACTCATTTCTTGAGAACTTGGCAAAACTAATGCTACTCTTTAAAGTACAAAGATAGAAATTATCTTTACCATTTTATCTACATGGGACATTGATGGGTAGGAAGCAAAATGCTGGCTCTGGTTGAAAATCAAACTAAACTAAACTGCAAAACTTCAGGTCCAGTTACGGATTTTACTGCATGGAAGTGACTATATATATCCCTGAAATTGAACCTGTGTTTTTATTTAAGTTTCTTATCTCTAAGATTTGTAATGCTGCTTTCATTTGCAAGGTACATTTGTGAATAAACAATATGTATAAGCACAAAATATGTCCCTATGTCTGATGCTGGTTTATATTTAGTCCTTTTCAGTCAAAAATTTTCAAAGTGCATTGTTAATATGTTTTTATTCAAGAATAAGCATACCTTTTTGTGGATACGTATTGGCTGCTATAGGACATTTATTTTGTGAGAGAGAGCTTAATAATTATTTCTGTGTTAAACATTCATTTTAACTTTTGTTATATTGTGCCTGTGCTGCACTGATAAGTAGAAAATAAGTACACCTATCAATGGGAAATTCCTGTATGAATTTTGAAGTCAGAGACAGATAAGTTAAAAGGTAACATGAATTGTGGATTAGTGTGCTAAAGTTAGGTGACCATGCAGTCACCTCAACCTGAAAATATCAGTCGGATCTGTATATTAAACAATCACTTGTTAAGATCAGGATGTTTTCAAGGTAATTTATAGAGTGCAGTGATTTAAATGTTCCTTCATTTAACGTTTTTCAGGGTTTATTTTATAGAGTAGTTGTTACTTAGGTCACAAATAATACCCCATACATAACAATTTTACTCTAGAGGGAGATGGCACGATTCACTCTATTTTGTGTCTCTAAACCTCGTTGATATAGGGATCAGGGGTCATTTTTTGAAGTTAAAATATAGGTTGAACCCCTCTAGTCTGACATCCTCAGGACCTGACCAGTGCTGAACCAGAGAATTTGTCAAACTGTAAGACAGATCTACTCAACACATGGCCCATTTGTTTGCAGCCCGTGAGGGGGTTGGGTTTACATGGGGCTCAATGTGCGGCCTGCAGGTGAGATCGTTTGAGTATGGCCTCCCCTGGGAGCACGCTCCACAATGGCAAGTCAATTTAATGGTCTTCTGTTGATATGTGTTTTAGTAGTTAAATTCCTGGACTGTCATTGCTCATTAAAAGTGCTGTCATATGCATGGAAATGGGGTAAATATTGCATTTTATCAGTATCAGTAGAACTGATTTAAATGGGGCCTGTGTGCTGTGTAGTCTTGCCTTAATCTTTGTATTCATGCCCATCAGTGTGAAAGAATCTGTTTACGTATATTTGCATATATATTTGCGTGTATATGCAACCCGCACTTATGTTGCAGCCTTTGGCATGTGCTGTGAGTATTACTGTGTCTCTCAGCTACTCAACTTTCCAAAGTTGAGTAGCCCAGCCATAGGAGGTCAATATTGTCTAGCAGCGTTACCAACACTTCCACTGCTTAACTGGGCTCTTAAAATACATTTAGGAGTAAATTAGAGCTAAATAACAGCACAGAACACTGAGAGCCAGGCCTAGTTGCTATAAACAGACTTCATGGGATACTTTGTCACACCCGTGATAAGTGGACGTTCTGCTAATTAAAATCATGTCGGACCATGGATGTTGCCAGACCAGAGATTGATGGACTAGAGAGGCTCAACTTGTACCTGAATATATTATACTTAAGTAAAATATTTGGGAGTAGAAGAGTTCAGCAGTTGCAGGTGTAAAATTTTAAAGAGCGAAATTAACTTCAGTAGGAAAAAACAAGTACAGTAAATCTCCAGTTGTCCAGCATCCAGTGGTCCGGCACTCCCAATATTCCAGCACCAACTGGAACCCGGAAGTGCTCCAGCCAGCTGGACAATTGGAGCTGCTGGCGGGGAACGGCGCAGCGAGGGGCGAACCCTCTGCCATTTTGCAGGAAGGCGGGGGAAGGCCCGCGCCACCGCAGTGAGTTTCCAGAAGGGGAGGGGTTCT